CTTTGGAACTATATAACTTGACCACGACGGCTGAACCTGTTCGTTTGCAGGACCAGACCTGGACGAATTGGAGGTGCTTGTTTTTCGATACCCAAGTTCCTTAAGGAGTGTTTCCCTTCGTCTTTGTGGGCTGGAAGTCCAAGTGCTACCAACATGACTTATTCACACAAAGAAGAACTAGCTCGAGAGTCCGGCACGTATTCACTTTTCCTGACGTGTCAGATTAGGAAATAACATTTCCATATCGCGGTCGCTTTTGCCCGGAGGTTGAGCTGTGCTGCCGCTCCTGTTTGGCACCCTTCTTGCGGGAGCGCTCGGCCGATGAGGACCAGCACGTGGAAGCGTGAGCGCTGTCTGGATAGAAGCCAAGAGGTGGTAGTGGTAGTACTCGTAGCAACAGCTGCTCTTCCTCTCATATCGCAGTGGAACCTGAAAGAACACATGAAGGGACAAATGAACGAATGGATGAGATAGATTGAAGAAGCACCGCATATTTCCCCGTCCTACGGTCACATAAAGGATCGTCTTTCTAGATGTATTTTTGTTGAGTGCAAGTACTTGGGAATTCGGGTTCAACACTTTAAGGACACACACACACACACACATAAAGTGTGCCCTCTATCCGAGAAAGATGAGACTGCAATGTTCACCTGACTGTTCCGCATGAGGTATGATTCTCAGAATGTAAGTTTGCTGTAGTTTCCCTTGTGCTTTCTTTCCTACAGGGCCCCCTGCAAGCATTGCATTTGCCTACTGACCTCTGGCAAGCATGTGCGGAGGCAAGCTCGGGTTTGTGACAAGTCACAAACGGTGAGACCTCCAAAGAGATGAATTCGCAATGGGTACAAAGTAAGAACAACCTGACAAAGACTTGAGCAGCGAAATCGTGAACAGAACCAGTATATCACAGAATTATCACAGCATATCTCCATGGCGAGAGAGTGATGTCCCGGCAATATGAGGTAGTGGCTTGCGAGGAGTGCATGCCCATGGGCCAAGGCCATATCAGTGTCAAGTCCGTTAATCTGTTTAAACACACCAGCAGCTGTTCTCAACATTGCAACCCGGCAGGTCACCTTCGGGCAGAGCCGGGACGCCTTTTTGTGTCTGCACAAAGCTTTCTGGCCGCCAGAGGAGCGGAACAGTACATTGCGCATGCTGACAGGCAGACATATATGACTCTCTGCATTGTTCTTGCACATGCACTCAATAGCCTCACCGATGGGCAAGGCTTCAAGATTATTGTAAGCTAGTAAGACATGTTTGGTGTTTTTTTTCTTTTTTGTCTTTGTCTTTGTTTGTTTGTGGTCCCATTCTTGTTTCATTCCAAGATAGACAATTTGTCCACTTCACTTGATGCAATGTTGCTCGCAGGGGATCTTTCTCCTGGTTTGGTACCGTCAAGTGAGGGTCTCCTGCATTGCAGCTGTGGTGCAGTGGTTGGGGAGGCAGATGCTCCGCGCAGGAGCAAATTGCCTCCTTATTTGAGAGACACTTTATTCAGTCCATTGGACAGTTTGATAGCAAGTTTTTGGAGATCCTACTTAGATTTAGATTTCGATTTCCTTAGATTCAATAGAGCCGAAATGTCATCAGAATCAAAGCAGAAACACCCAAAGCATCACTTGGACTTTGTAGGACCACGAGAAAAGCGCGACAGCGTAACTTTTGTGGCTGGGGCCACACGTGCCGCAGTGCGGGTGTCCTGCTCTACAAACACCGTGCTTTGGATGATCCCACGTAAGCAGCCCGTGCAGAGGTTTGTTCAGCTGGAAAAAAGGCTCCTAGTAGCGTCCTTGCTCCTAGTAGTAATGCCAGGAGCCCCTAGTAGCGTCCTTGTTCCTAGTAGCGATGCCCTTTGCTCCTAGTAGCGAACATTGCTCCTTGTTTGTTTCTATTTGAGGTGCTTCAATGCCCCTCACACCACATGATGCATTGGCGGACTACACAGAGGAGCTGGGAGTCATTCGAGTGCTTTCTTTACAAGAGCGGTTACACCAAACACCAAAAAACTTAGCACGTATATCCACGCACGGAACTTGTATACTTTTTATGCTATGCAGCAATGCAGTGCTTAATTCAGTGTGTTGGATGTGAGTGGTATCTGAACGGATGGTGTACTTCTTTAACGATCAGTGGAATCACTTGCCATGCTTATGCAAAAAATTGTCATGCTGTGTACCAAGAAGTTTTTGAGGCAGCGGGTCAAGTTACAGTAAATTTGTCTGTGTGTTACTGCCTGCTCCACATTACTATCGTAGAAAACCAATGGACACCTTGCACACTTGAAAGGCATGCATAACTTCTTTCCACTCTTGGATACGGTACACAGGAGGCGTCTGTGCTGGCTCATTTGCTGACCTTGCGTGTAAGTGAGGCACATTGATGCATCTTGCATGGGTCATCATGTGTCAATTCTGAAGGCGAGAAGAGAGAGAGAGAGAGAGAGAGCTTAGACGAAGAGAGTCTTATGTAGGCAGAAGGACCAATGCCATTTCTGAAAAGCTACTGTACTTGGTTCTCTGACCAATTCCTGGCTCAAGCCGGTCAAGCTTCGAGAAAGCAGAAGCATACCTGCCGTAGGTCTGCCAGCCCGGCTGTGAGGTAAAGGATGAGCTTCGACCCTAGCTTTTTCAACAGTGCCTACCTGCAATGCATTGGTCGCGGCCTCTCGCACAAGGAGTGTGTGGGCAGCCTGCCTGGTTTCCCTTCAGGGCCAGTTCAAGCTTACAGCCCAGAGATGTCCAGTGCAGTCGCATGCCTCAGCCAGAATGGCGGTGACTTTGAGAAGTGCAAAACAGAGCTCGATGCGTTTGTGGGCAAAAAGGAGGAAGAGACCAAAAGCTTCCTGCAGAGTGGATCAGACTTCTGTTCAAAGGCTGGCCTCAAGATCCTTGCGCTGCCAATTGCCTTCGTTGGCCTCAAGTTCATCAAGATCAAGTGAGGAACGCATTGCCTCATTGTATAGCCCAGCTTTAGGAGGTGCCACACATGAAGCTAGCAGCTAACATTTAACAAAGGATACCAAATGACATGGTTTTGGCACATTTGTAGTCGGGAATATGTTTTTTGATACATCGTACAACTCATGGGTAGTTTTGGAGATACATTACTCAGACATAGTTTGGACGTCGGATCGAGAGCGGGCAGAAGAAAAAGACAGTTCTTTGCAGGGAGCTTTACGTACATTGAACCTTAAAGCTGGAAGCAATTTTTTGACAATGGATCCCGTTCTCTCGTCAATTTGCAAGGGCCAGTCTCGCTTCGTGGTCCTGCCGAGCCATCCGCTGCTTGCACGCACATTGCGTGGATGAAGGGGCTTGGTTTTGATCCTTCAGAGTGATCACAACAAAGTCAAAACATGTTAAGACCCGGCAGAACTTCCAGAACTTTCAAAGGCTAGAGGCTCATTCCAAGGTTGTTCTGAGATTCCACTCATCCCAGGTCTTTGGACTCCTCTCTGCTCAGTCAGGTCGCGGCCGAGGCATGACTCAGAGGTTTGTGGGTCAATCGTAAGTCAGTGGATTTGGGGACGGTAGACAGATTTGCAGAACATGGACATGCGCAACCAACATTTATACATCCCACCAGGCTCCTCAACTTTGTACATAAAAATGTCACCTACAACATATCACAGACATCTCCTCCTTGGTTCTCCTTTCAGGCGTTGGAGTTGCGCTTGGTGCTACCGGAGCTTTTGCTGCTAGGTGAGCCACCGGAGCTCTAGCTCATCCGGTAGGATGGAATACCTACTAGCGATGGCCTCCAACCCACCAGTGATGGCCTCCAACCTTCTAGCAAATAATTGGAAGTCACCGGATGCAGTATGACGATACATTATGTTGATGTCATTGCTTTAAACCACGAGAGTCGATCAATCGTGTGGACAGCAATCAAGAACTTGGAGTCATTTGAACTTGAACCTACTTTTCAAGCACTGTCAATCAGAAACGGAAAGTCGAGCAGCTGGCAAGTGGAATCTTCTCTCCGTGGGGAGGTGGAAGTGATGCTGGGGATTTGCACAATGTCCAGCTGGCCTCAAAGGCATGTCACGGCTCGACGGCTCTACTCAAATAGCTCAACAAAGCGGATCGCTGAGAGACTTTAGATGACGCTGATTCTCCAAGCACCAGCTGACTGGCTAAACTACCGTGGTTTGGTGGTCTTGGACTCTGGCAGGTGCTGTTCCGGCCATGCCGCTGTGCTGCCTTGCCAGAGCTGACCCAAGTAGTGATTCCTCAGGACATGATGTGACCGGCTGTCTGCCTTCACGGTCCCACGCCACGGAATTCCCCAGGAGTCCTTTCAAGCGCTCTGCAACAGACTCAACGCGTGGGTGCAAAGGCCAGCGTACTGAGGTGACTTGAGTACTCAAGTGGGAGAACAGTTCAATGAAAGGACCCCCCGCTTTTGCAGCTTGTCACCTTTCAAGTGCATTTCTGAGGGGTTGGATTGATTCAATGTTTGAGTTTGATGGACTCCACGGTTTCCCCTTTAGAAAGCCCTTCACTTTTGAGCGTCGCTTTCGTGGACATGTTCCAGCTTCCCATATGCACGACTGAACCAGGCATGATCTTGCACTGCACTGCACATGCATACCGGCCAGTTGCAGGCTTCCTTCATCACTATCAGAAGCACCAGGGAAGGACTGGCGCTGCAGCTATTTACCTCGTCCGCCAGAGTGAAACCAGGAAAAGCCTTGCTGCCACATGTGAATACTTCCGACTTCTGAATGTGACGCTTCCCAGCTGTCTTGGAACAACTTCCGTGGCAACCCCGAAAAACAACGGCAACTCTGGCAACTCTTGTATTAGTAGGAATACGCTTGCTACTTACTAGTAGCGTCCTTGCTACTTGTAGCGATGCACCTTGTTACTAGTAGGTTTTTGATGGGTTTTGTTACTAGTAGTAAGGCCAGGAGCCCCTAGTAGAATCCTTGCTCCTAGTAGCGATGCCCTTTGCTCCTAGTAGCGATGCCCTTGTTCCTAGCAGTTTCTGAGGCCTGGATGAAGCCTTGCAGAAAGAAAACTTGGCTGCGGCCTTCCAGGGCACTGGCCGCACAGCTGAGGCAGAGGCCCGGGCAGCTGCTGGTGTACAACTAGTATATAGTAAGGCACTTAGCTACTAGTGGCGTCCTTGCTACTAGTAGCGATGCACCTTGCTACTAGTAGCTGCAGCTTCTTGTTACTAGTAGTAATGCCCTTGTTACTAGCAGGGAAGCTCCTATTTAGAAAATTTCATACTTGTGATGAGTTTGATGTTGGACACCGTGGATGGAGGAGGGTGAAAGGGATTGTGGTCAGTTTGAGAATTCATTAAGAGCTCCATCACGGCCATGTTCTATGTCTTCGGTTCTTGTTTCAGGTCCTGGTACGCGAAGCCATTGTCTCAGACAGCACACCACAAACTAGTGAGGGAAGCAGCGACCAAGCCATTTTCACAAAACACTCTGGAGGTTTAGATGAGGCTTCCACTACCAAATAGAGATATCTTGATATGTCGTGATGCTTTTTGGTGGCTCCGCAAACTCCAAAGATGAGTCAGTTTTTGGTCCAGGACAATGACGTCAACATGGACAATCGTCCCGATTTTATCGATTGAAGTTGCTTTAGTCAAGGCTCTCGCCGTGCTGGAACATGCCTTTCCACCTCAGGCCATTTTGCCGCAGAGTTGGTACAAGGGTCCAAGCAAGGGACAGGTGTTCGTGAAGCAAGATGACATATGGCTAGGTGAGTGCTTTTTGCCTTTAAGGTTTTGTGATTGCTTGTAGGTTGGAGGCCAGTGCTATTACGTTGGAGGCCATTGCTTGTAGGTTGGAGGCATTACCCAACCGGGGCTAGTCTCAGCACACTGGAGTCGCGAGCCGGTCATATCAGCCACCAGCTGCCTGACAGCTGGCTTATGGCCAGGTACGTGACGTACGGCCTGCTGGTGCCAGGGCAAGGCTAGTGAACTCATTGAATCCAGAGTAAACATTTCGACAGGGGATTTCTAAAGCCTCAGGTAGCGTCAGGGCCTCTTGTTTCTCCTCTTTTTGGCAAGTTTCTCGAAGAAGAACCTATCTTTTAAGCTGCTCCCTTGGACTTCCCCGAGGACATGCGCACCAGAATCACGAGAAGTCATTTGTTTGTAGGATCTGATCGAAGCTGTTTGGAAGCTACCCAGATAGGCTGTTTGACTTCTCTTGTTCCCCACATTGACGTGTGGGGTTTTTGTTTTTAGTGTTGTATTCGCTCCTCCTTTCCTCCTCCTTCCTCCTCCTCCCCCCTCCCCCTTGCCGCCAACCAATTGCCACCAAGAAACTGCCACCAACCCATTGCTACCAACCAATTGCTACCAATCGATAATTGCCACAGTACTTGGTGCTCTCCATGGGGGCCAGATGTATGGCAGGTGCAGCACTTGGAGCTCTCCAAGGGGTCAGATGTCTTTCTTGATGATAGGGGTCTTGATGGGAGGGATATTCATCAGGCATGAAAGGGCAATGCATACACATGCAGTGTAATACCTGCTCATGCCAAGACACTTACACCAAATGTCTTTGTTCAATTGTCTGTTCCAGGTGGCTCTAATGAAAGTTTGCAGCCATGTTAGCAGCCATAAGAACAATAACATGACATCAATGGCAAGTCAGGCTTGCTCAAGGGGCCAGTTGGTCACTGTGGAGGCTTAAGTTCATGGGTGCAAACATGGTGCAACCCCCTTTGTTTGACCAGGGCCACTTTAGGTTGTGAGAGAAATCCAGCCATGCCATCTCACAAGAAAAGGAGGACCACACTTCCAGAGCACCTGGGCATGCATTCCACAAGGATGAAAATGCAAGAGAGATGCAAAAGTATGTGGTTTCAGGCTTTGGTGTTTGCTTGACCCAAGGCATATGCAGCATTTGCAAAGGCAACCTTTTGCACAGCAGTTCTACCCTCCACCAGGCTATCAACCTTTTCAAAGATATCCTCCTGGTGGGTATGCCCCTCCTCAGCCCCATTGCCATCAGATGCAGCCACCCTATCTAGGGGCAGAGAACTTTGGCCAGGGAGCATCCTCAACAACTGCTCCATCAGAAGCACTTTCTGAGCTAGAAGGGAAAACAGATGACAGCCCTTTGGCAGCAAAAAGATATATAGAACCCTGGACCTCTTATTCAAGATTCAGTGAATGGGTGGACAAATGGGCGTTGTTGCCCTTGCCTTTTGTTTGCATTGCTGCAGGTGGCAGTGATGATGACTCTGATGGTTCATCGAAGCTTGTATGCCCTTATGTAGTCCCTCAAGAACTTGGTAGAATCCCATGCATTTGCTCAGTGTAAGGAGCAGCAGTGACCAGAAGAAGAAAAAGAAGAAGTCAAAGAAGAAGAAAGGAAAGAAAAAGAAAAAAGGTGCCAACCCATGAGCATTGGAACAAACCAAGTGTGTTTGATGTAGCTGTGGTTTTGTTTTACTTCATGGGTTGCTTGGCCAAGCTCCAGTGCAGGCAAGAAATCTTCAGAAAGCACTGATGCCAAATCCAGTTGCTTGGCCTTTGCTGAACCCAACAGAGAGACACAAAGAGAGAGAGAGAGAGAGAGAGAGACAGATATAGAGTGAGATAGAGAGACTGAGAGAGATGGAAAAGAGTGTGGAGCATCCTAGGCACAGAATTGGATAAGAAGAAGGCCCCCAAAGTCCATTTGGCCAAGAATGAGAGCAAGGGTGGAAAAGCAAACATGCTTTGCAGGAGTGCCCCTTTTTGGGTTGAAACATTGCAGGGTTCTTCAAAGAGTTACCTTGTAAGGATTGAAACATTGCTGGTGGGTTCTTGAAAGATTCACCTTGCAGGAGGGACCAGCTTAGATTCCTGAAGATGTTGGACAGCACCAAATTTGTGGATGGTGTAAAGGAGCAGCTGACAGACTTGCAGATAGGGATGGCCTTTTGGCTAGCATGTGGCCTACCTCCCTGGCACAAGCTCAGGGAGATGCGCTGCAAGAACCTAGGGACTCTGAGTTTTGGTGGCAGAAGAAGAGAAAGCAAGGCTTGAGGCTGTGAAGAAGGCAGAAGAAGAAGAGAAAGCAAGGCAAGCGCAAGAAGAAGCTGCAGAGCAAGTGAGGAAGCTGCAGGAGTATGCCAGGAAGAAAATAGAGGAGGAAGAGAAGGAAAAGAAGGCAAAGGGCAAGGGAAAGACAAAGGCTGCTGTGCAAGCAATGTTTGGCCCTTTGGCTGCAATGGCTGTATAGGGCTACTTAAAGGTCCAAGCACCAACACACATGGTAGTTTTCTTGCTGTGCAGTGGAAGGTGGTGGTTGTTGGGTTACAGAGCAAGACCAATGCTTATTGTTTGCGCAAGGCCAGAGGGATAGCTCTTCGAAAAAGGCCAAATGAATGGAGATTGGGTGTGCCTGGGCAGTGCAATGCAACACACAGTTGGTGAGTATGCTGACTGTGCTGTGTAACACATACACAATTGGTGAGGTGCTGGTGGCTATGTGGCTATACTTTTTTGGAGCAACCCTTGAAGCAGGGCAGTGCAAGTGAAAAGCATATGTGAGCATGCAGGGCGCAGAGTTGTTTGCATGTTTGCATGCAGGGTTGTTGGCGCTAGCTTTTGTTTGGTTTTGCTGTGTCTGTGTCACCACTGCTTTGTGGTAAAGGGTTTGTTCTCAAGCCTAGAGGGGTGAAATAGTGAAGTGGAGCTTTGTCAACTTGTGCCTTGTCCTTTGCCAGTTGTGGTGGCTGCCATTCTGCCATACCAGTGGTGCTGGCCTAACTGAGGTGCATGGCCTCCTGAGGATCACTGTGGCTACTGCAATTGCTAGCCCCCATGGTGGTGAAGATGGTAGATGGTGAGATGGCAGTGGTGTTTTTAGGAAGTGATGAAACTAAGAAGAAACTGGGTAGATGGTGTGTGTTTGTGTAGGTCGTGTTGTTGGACCAAGAACATCCTGCATACCACTTGACTTGACCTTCCCATGCCTTTGAAACAAAGTGAACTCTTTGCCATTGGCTTTGCTAAGGTGATTGGCTGGCTCTCTCCTGCCTTTGGTGATAAGACACCCAGATTGAAAGGGTGTGGTATGGGCCTGGGCAACCACAAAGCTGTTAGCAGGGCCCACCACAAAACTCTGGGCTGAGGCCAATTCTTGGACGATAGGAATGGGTCACCAACACTGGAGGACCACTGGTCAGGGACCACCATACACCCACCACTTTGTACCAGAGTTGGTTCATAAAAAGGTGTGGTGGTCTATAGTTTTGGGGTTTAGGTGACATCACTATGGGCAGGGGCTGTGATAGGACCACCACCCACCCAGTATAGCTAGGGAGGCCAACAACCTGGCGCTGAGGACTGCAATGTTTCCAAGAGCTTCATCAATAGATCCTGTGATGTCAGGGCAATGGCAAGCTTATGGATCTTGGCTTTTTTGGACATGGACATTTCACAGTGGATGGGTGCAATGGATACCTGCCACTGTTCAGTTGAACAGGTCTGTGCCAGATGACACAAGCAGAGACCATTTGGAAAGGGCACTGAACAGGTTGCACCAGCTTGAAGGGCTTGCTAGGATTGAGAACATGTGGGAATACACCACACAGCAGACCCAATGGTACCTGCAGACCTATGAGTACAGCCAGTGGTACTATGATAGCATCCCTGAATATAGTCACTAGGCATGAGTGAGCTTGGAGTGTGGGTGAGCTTGGAGTGTGGGTGGGTGGTCTTGTGTGGATTCAGGTGAGCGATTGGCAGGATGAGATGGGCAAAGATGGCAATGAAGAGGTAGTGCCCCAACTGCAGTGCGCAAACACACAACAAAAGGACTAAGTGAATAAGTAGTGATAACAAAACAACACCATACAATAACACACACAGTGGACAACATGAATCGTAGTGGTAACATGAAAGCATAAGACTTAAACCAGAAGAAGAACAACATAACAATACATGAATAGGGGCAACATGAAGTAAGGCAAAAGCAAGACAATACAATACAATACAACAAAGCAAATGAAGGCAAACAGAACATGAAACACCATGAACCAGGAGGAGCCAACAAAACAACAAGACAAGACAAGACACAACACAAAGGTAACACAAATAAGAAAAACATACATAAGACAAAACAAGACAACGCAACACATGAAAACAAAACAAACCAACGCAACACAACACCACAACAAAGCATGAAGAGGGGTAACATGAAGTAAGATAAAACAGGACAACAAAACATATGAAGCCAAGACATCATGAGACAGTAGGAACACATGTAAACCAAGAAGAAGAAGCAGACATAAAACCAAACAACAGATGAAAACAAACCAAACCAACACAACACAACACCACAACAAATCATGAAGAGGGGTAACATGAAGTAAGATAAAACAGGACAACAAAACATATGAAGCCAAGACATCATGAGACAGTAGGAACACATGTAAACAAAGAAGAAGAAGAAGCAGACAGAAAACCAAACAAAACATGACAACAACACTAGCCAAGACACAACACCGCACCACAACAAACCATGAAGAGGGGTAACATGAAGTAAGACAAAACAGGACAGACAAAACAGGACAACAAAACATATGAAGCCAAAACATCATTCATGAGACATTAACACATGTAAACAATGAAGAAACCAAACAAAACATAACACAGCTAGAAAGCACCAAAAAAACACTGGAAAAAATGGGCAGCATTTCCCCCCCATTATAAGGAAAGGGAATAATAAATAACGCTTTCCCGGTTTGATTTTTTTGGCATTTTGGCGATTTTTTTGAAGTTTTTGGTAGGTTTTGGTAGGTTTGGGAAGTTTCTGGCAGGAAGGGGCATGTTTCAGAATGATTTGGAAGGTTGTGATATAAGGATGGCTAATTGAAATGATGTGGAATGGCTATGGTGGCTGCAATGTGCCTTGGCAGTGAGGGGAGATGGAGTGTGGAGGTGCAGGAGTCATGCATATATGGGAGA